TACAAATACTTTGAAGCGGCGAGTTTCTGATCTAATCCAATAAAGAACCGTTTTGGAATCAGACCAATAAAAACTGTTTGATATTTTCAATTGTAATGTTTTCTTAACATTTGATCCTAGTCTTGCTCCAGCTAGAGCAGCTTGAAGTTCCAGGCGAGGAATAGACATCGGTGTTAGTGGAGCAACACGGGTTTTTGAAGTTAAAAAACTGATTTTCACTATATTTCCTTCCTCCCACCGAAGATATGCCACGCTCGCATAAGCGCTCTCTGAGGCGTCACAGAAAATATGCAGCTGAATTATACTTTTTTCCCTGTTTAATTGACAAAACTGTCGAGGCAGTTTGAAATTTGAAATTTTTTGAAGCCCGTCAATCCAAATTTCCCATTTAGAATTTAGTCTGTCACTGATTTCATCGTCCCATCCAATTTTACTTTTCCATACTTCTTGTAGTAAAATTTTACCTTGAACCATGAAATTTGATAAAAATCCTAAAGGGTCAAATATGGACATAACAACTTTCAACATTTCTCTTTTGGTTGGTCTTTTCTTTTTGTCTAGAAGGTTTTTATTTAATTTTTCAAATTTAGTCCTAAAACAAAAATTATCTTCTTTTGGATCCCACCAAACTCCCAAAATTCTTTCTGCTGAAGTATTTAAATTGTTTTCCAGAACTTTGTTAGATGTGGCCAACAATGATTTGTCTATGTCTTCTAAAATATGTGGATAATTTGTGATCCAATTACATATTGTAAACCCACCTTTTTTATGAATGTCGATAATATCACGAACTAATTGTTTTCCTTCTTCGATTGTGTCGGCTGAGCCTACATAATCGTCCATGTAATGGTTGTATAGAATATCATTGACTGCCCTAGGATGACTATGAATAAACTCACGAGCGTTTTTATTCTTGGCTTCCTGCGCTAAACAAGGACTACTTGTTGAGCCAAAAAACACAACATTTATTTCATAGACTTCTGGTTCTTGTCTTCTATTCATTCCTCTGTATAGTATCCTTTGAGCTGCGCGATCTTCTTTTCTTACTAATACCTGTAAAAACATTTCTTTGATATCAGCAGTAAACGCATATTTTCTTATTCTAAAATTAAGCAGAATACTATGCAATGAATTGTATAAGTCTGGACCAGTCAAAAGAAAATCATTTAAACACATACCATTAGATTTTGCAGATGCATCAAAAACTATTCTAAGTTTTTTCTTATTTGGATTAATAATGCCAAAATGAGGTAAATACCATTCTTTATCGTTTGGAAATTTCAATTCTTCTTTAGTCAGTTGTCTAATGTATCCTTTATTTTCCATGTCTTCAATTTTGTTGCAATATGCTTTTGCAAATTCTGGGTTTTTGTCCATTTTTCTCTCAGTACATCGAAGACGTTGCATGGCGTTGACCTTACTCTCAGGTTAAACAATATTTTTGTCTCTCCAAATTAGTCCTGTTTCAAATCGATCGCCAACCCTATGCATTGTTGCATCCAAAATGGCCCGCGCTCGGATATCTTCCTTTGAAACAGCCCTTGTATCTGAATCAAATATTGTGTCAATTTTCCATTGAGATTTGACCAAATCATGCAATAAATCCAATTCATCTTTGACTTTGAAATCGATGTGAAAAACTGTTTGGAAGTAGAATTTTGACGAAGACTATAATTCCCATGAATAATCCATCCTAAAAGAGTACGACTCAATACGGGTCCATGCCATGGTCCTGGTATAACCTCCCTACTTACCAATAATGGCCAGTTATCTTGCCCAATTAAAATTCTTGGTTGAGCCGCATTCATTGATTGAATCCTATCAACTTTATTACCAATATATTCTTTTTTGCATTTACCTGGTCGGTAGTTAAGGTATAACTTTTTCTACCTTGACGAAAACCAGTTCTGTCATCATTATTATGGTGGTTATATGTTGCGTCAAATTTTGGAATTTGAAGTTGACAAGCTGCGTTTGATTTTTTGTCAAGCCACAAAGAAAATTCAATTAATTGAACGATTTTTCTCGACTTCTTTATTTCAGTAATATGCTCCACCCAGTTAAGTCTAAAGGATGTGGGAAGCTTGTCCAAAAGTTCTTGTAATAATAAAGGATTGCGCAAATGATCGTCTTCTTGTAGAGTTTCAAGTGTTGCAACAAGATTTTTAACTTCATCAGCACAATTTATGAACAAATCTAATTTATCTTCTTTAATAGAAGGCAATTTCCTAACATTTTGTAATAAAATAGCAATTATATGTTCTGGACGACCAAAACGACTTTCCAAAAGTGCAATTACTTTGTCAACATTATTTGGTAAAATTAATAAAGATTGCACAATACGTTTTGCATTACCTTTCAGACATTTTTGCAAACTTAATTGATTTTCTTCATCTGAATAACCACAAATAGTTGTTGAATGCCTATATTGGTGGACAAAATTAGGCCATTCTGAAAGATCACCAGAAAATATAGGAAGTTCTTTAGGAATTGATTGCCTGGTCAAAACTTTAACAATATTAGAATTTTCTTGTTGGTCAAAATGAATATTATTCCTGGGCATAGAATAAACTTGCTGACCCTGATTAAATGTAGATAAATCACGTACCTGGGACGTTTCTACTTGAAGACTGTCTTGGAATTTGGTTTCTTTGTCGTTCCATGGACAATTTCCATCATGAACCCATTTTTGGATATTTGGTTTGTAACTTACCACTGACTCACATTCATCTGCTCCAGAATAATCAAACTCCTTTTCATCACACTCTTCAATTAATACTAGCTTTCTTGCAAGTTCCAGATCAACCATTTCTTGTTGTTTCTTTAACATTTCTTGCTCTAAAGCTGTCTTCTTGATTTTTGCTTCGATTTCAGCCTCTTTTCTTCTCCGCGAAATATTGCTTCTAGCAGTTCTAGCTGATGCTGCCGTTTTATTGCTTGAACTTCGGTTTTCACAGTTTTTCTCCTTGCTGTCGGCATTCAGGGATTCATAGACGTCAGACTTTGCTTTTGATCCCTTAGAAGAAACCGTGTTTTCTTTTAGACTACCGTCGGACTTAGATTTGACTGTCATCTTCTCTGCTAGTCTCTTACTTTTCCGGGGAGCTTCAGACTTCTGCTCATTCATAGTGTTGGCTTTATCGTAAATAGCTTCGAAGGACCAAGTATTGTTGCTTACCTAGAATATCTTTAAATGTATCCTGGTTCGAAAGACCAAGTATTGTTGCTTACCTAGAATATCTTTAAATGTATCCTGGTTGGAAAGACGAAATTATTTTTTAGGAGAAATTAAGACAGACTCTCAACTTTCTGACTAATATATTGACAACTCTATTATTAAATTATATAAATGTTACTGGTAAACTGCCAAACTGGTAAAGGTAAAAATGAAAAAATAGGTAAAATAAAAATATTAATTAATAATAAAAAGGAACAGTAACAACTGTAGCTGTGGTATAGAAGAGCAATACAATGATTGTCCACTGGTTTTTAAAATATAAATAAAATTTCACTCTATAGATTTCAGATTTACATATAAACTGAGTCTGCTGGACTGTCGCAAGAGTCCTAGGCCATATGCTATAGATATCTCTACCACCTATCCTTCGGAATTGTAGTTTTGTCCTTGCTCAGCCTCTAGGTTTATATATTTGATATTTGAGAACTCCTTGACAAACTTCTTGGTAGAAATCTTATTTAATCATACCAATATAGGTACGTAAAAGTGGAAGGAAAAAATACTTTATAGATGTTGAAAGTTGAAAGTTTTTATACTCTTATTATAGTGTATAGGAATGAAATGAAGAAGTCTTCCTCAAGCTAAAAGTAGGAAAAAAAAAACAGACTTCAAACTAAGCTTCAAACCATCCAGGGTCTTCGGTATTTTTAAAAACGATCGCAGCTTTGGTAAATTGAAAACCAATATTTTCATGCACCAACTGCAGATTTTTTCTTATCTACGATTAGCAACAAAGTGATTGATTCTTAACATTTATCAGAAAGTTATTTTAAAGCAGTCAGGCAAGCATCGCCTAATCACCGGAAATGAGAGTCTGCCTGTAAGATATCTCGTCAGCAGTTATAATACCTATATTAACTTTCACGTCACATACAATTTCTTATCGCGTATTTCAAGGAATTTTTTGGTGACATGAAAATTTGATGGTTGGTAAGCATTTTGCCCTGAAATAACTTAGTAATGGTTGTTTTTCAAGTTCTCACAATAAATTTAAAATCAAATTATCCGGATGTATTTATTCAAAGAGTTTTGTAAAGTTTTTAAGAAACCAGCGGTCAGTCCATCGCTGTAAAAAATCAGGAGAGTCAAGACCTGCGGACGTAAAGGTACCTACTCAATATATAAAAATCTCTCTACAATAATAGGCTCATTCCTTGTCGATTACAAGTATTTAGTATTCAAACTTTTTGTTTGAAAGTGGTAACTTGGAATTATTCAACATGATTTTGGACTTGTATTACCTACCTTTATTTGCAATAACTGAGCCGTTTGGACTTGTGAAAGTATCTCCAGTTGTGAAAACTGATCAGTTTTAAACAAAGGTAAAGTAAAAAATTCTTTCTTTAAATTTTTAAAATTTAAAAAGTATAGGTAACAAGAGATACAATTAATAATAATCTTAGTCTATACCTATGTGGAGCATGACAAAAGAAACAGTTTCATATCCTAAAAAAGGCCTAGTTTCCTAATAATTAAACCACTGGGTAGGTACTTTTATTAACGTGGATTAAAAGAGCAGTTTGTGAAGTTCAATAAAATAATATATAGCTATCTACAAATCTAAATTGCAAAATCGTTCAGACTAGAGGCAGAACCATCTACAACACATTTTTTAATTGTTATTATGCAAAAGAGATCCTCAAAATCCAGTTACAATCATAGTCAAACGACATCCCACTTATAGTTATCCCAATAAGGAGCATTTCGAAATAATTGGTCACCATCATCAGACTAAACGCGCAGCAGTATCAAAAGAGTGCTGCTTTAGACAAAATATTCCTGCAAGCGAAGCAAACCCGCGATATTCGTTCCCCACACAAGTGTCTGATGGGCGCGTAGCACTTGTTATACGATTAGCCATGTAAAAAAGTCTAATTGGTCATAATTAGTTTCAATTTGTGCCTTTTTTTTTGTTATGTGCTACAAGTTTTAGTGTAGTAACTTGGATTTGGATTACAAAAACTTCTCATAAACGCGAAAGGTAAGCTTATTTTTCATGTCAAGGTATATAGCTCGAGGGCTTTAATTAATTTCAAATTCCTTTTACTATTATCTTTATGATTTTGTATTAGGAATCATTATTTTACGCTTTTCCGTTGTAACAAAATGATTTTGAAACGATCTGTGGATGAAACATCAAGTACCATACACATTTTTTATAGGTATTTTCCATTTCTAGTTTAAATGATAAATTATGAATTAAATTTAAAAAGTTTTTCGTCATTATACCTCCCAATATATTATTATCTATTATTTATTTACCTATATGGTGTAGTAAATCTGAAGCCCATTAGTAGATTTTGCATTTTCCAAATCTTCCGCTATATCTACAAGGTCTACATCATTAGGTAGGTACCTATCCTAGGGCTCTACATCAAGTGGACCAACATATTCCCATTTTTTTTTTTTAAATTAGAATTGTATTGTATCCATTTTTAAGCACTTCCCATGTAAAAATATTCAAAACCAGCGGTTGGCAGCACAAATAATAGTGACAAATATGTAATTTGAAATTTAAATTTTTGTGTCATATACACGCATAAGTATTTCTTAAATGCAAATATATGTTTCATGTATGTATAAGAAATCTGAACCATATTTAACTCATTTTTTTCGATTTAAGTATAACGCACTTGTCAGAAATTTTACTTTTTTGGTCAATAGTCAATTTATTATAACACTTCTTGTAAATCTTAATAATAACCCAACCTAAGTAGAAACAAAGAAAAATTAAAAGGTTTGTAAGAATTATTTAGGTGTATGGGTGTATTATGTGTAGGTAGAGGTGACTTTATGTCATCGAATCAAGTTTATCTGCAATGTTGTCTTTCTAAAAATGTTCATGTTATGCCAAAAATATTAGTATCTACTTTGTCATCATAATTTGTTTTTCTCGACACCCTTCCGGAAAGGAAGCGACATGAAAACTATAATTTATGCACTTTTTCAGGGATTACAAGTACCGTTTCAATCCCTGTTTTAAGGAAGTAGAGTGAGTCTTTTAATTTCCGGGATTAAGTTTCACTTTATTTTCTGATTGTGATTAAATTTTCACTTTACTTCCCGGGGAAGTACCACTCTAGTCCCTAGATATAATGTGCCTTCTATTATATTACATTTTCATAGGTAAGAATTCAGCCAAGTTTAATCACCCAAGAAGGAAGAAGGGCATGTTTATATTCTAATCATCACTTCTTATTGGGTGTGGGGGTTAGCATCTTTCCGATTTGCAAGTTGCAACAAATAAGTTTATATTTAACTAACGGTAAAGTAGGTGCCTCGCTATGACTACTTGATGTCTGTTTGTAACCTTCATTGCTGAAAAACTTGAACTTTATAGCTGTTTAGCTATATTTCTTCAATATTAGGGTTTAGACGTTGCTAAATATGTATATTATTTTTATTGATAGACTGTTGATTCTCCATGACAATGATATACCTATGCTAATTCTTAACTACAAATTACAATAAGGTGTTATCAGGTGTATAAGAATCCCTACATTACTCCCCCCTAAATGAAGTTTTTAACATTTATCAAAATCCAAAAAAAAAAAAAATCTAAATATTTTAACATTTCAAATTAAATCTGACTCTCCTTTGAATCTTGTTCTGGTGGTTGTTGTCTACTTCATCATTTATTATTGTTTGTTCAAAAAATGCTGGTTTAAGGGCCGGTACTTTTGCTCTCGATTAACGAATTTGATACGTTGTCAAAGTTTTGCATGGGCCAAGGTCTATAAAGTATTATGTGGTTAGAGCACATTCTAAGCCCTGATTATTTTTAACGGCTGTCAAATGACAGCAAAAGTACCGGCACTAAGTCTATCAATTGAGATAGTTTTCCGTTTTCCATTAATGAGAAGAGTAATAGTATGTATACTATTTTATTTACAATCATTCGAATTTTGAAATTTTCATTTGGATTAAAACTCAAAAATACAATAATTAACAATTTCATTTACTTTCGGCCCACGGGTCGAAAGTTTACTTTCGACCCGTGGGCCGAAAGTAAAAGTCAAAAAATACAATAAATTTTAAAAATTTCATTTACTTTCGGCCCACGGGTCGAAAGTAAACTTTCGACCCGTAGGCCGAAAGTAAAAGTCAAAAAAGTGACATTTTCGAACTTTTTAAAAGTCAGTAAAGTCAACATTACATGTATGATTGTAAATAAAGTATTTTTTTTACCACTAACCTGAGAAATAGACATTATTCAATCTATTTTTCTAAGAAAAAATTGAATTTCTCTCCCTAGGTTAATAATGAAAATAATGAAAAAATACCTAGGTCAATAATGAAAGTGACGTCATGACGCAAGGATATTGTCATGTTTCTATTGGTTCAATTTCAATTTCATACGTCAATTTGAAAAAAAATACAGGTTTCTGTAGGTACATAGGAAGTTATATAAGCTGTTAATAGAGGGCAGCACTTTCAAGAGGGCGTTCACAAAAAATAATTAGAACACAGATTTTAAACAAATTTTTTATTTTTTACTAGCAGTAGTAAAAAAAATTCTATATATTCCTCGGTAGAGAAAGTCATTATATACCTCAAGCATTATAAACCTCGGCGCTGCGCGCCTCGGTTTATAAAAGCTTTCGGTATATAATGACCAACTTCTCTACCTAGGTATATAATATACTATTATTTACAATCATACATGTAATGTTGACTTTACTGACTTTTAAAAAGTTCGAAAATGTTAGTTTTTTGACTTTTACTTTCGGCCCACGGGTCGAAAGTTTACTTTCGACCCGTGGGCCGAAAGTAAATGAAATTTTTAAAATTTATTGTATTTTTTTACTTTAAACTTTCGACCCGTGGGCCGAAAGTAAATGAAATTGTTAATTATTGTATTTTTTAGTTTTAATTCAAATCAAAATTTCAAAATTCGAATGATTGTAAATAAAATAGTATACATACCTCGGTGAAAAGTTTCATTACTGTCTCGAGATTTTAGTTAGACCTCGGCTGAAACACTTTCCACCTCGGTATGTAATATACTATTATTTTGCAATCATATATGTAATCTTGTCATTACTGACTTTTTAAAAATTTGGAAGTGACACTTTACCAGTGTCACTTCCCTCTTCGATTTCCCTCACCGATTTCCCTATTCGACTTCCCTCACCGATTTCCCTCACTCTAATTTATTTACCTTTGCTAGCAACAATGAGATCATGTCAGGTAAAAACGTCAAAACAGTGATGACACATTTTGGCATGTTTGTTTTATTTTTTTAATATTAATAGTTATTTACATTACAAGTGCGTTATGAACCTCATGACATAACTCAAATACTGGAAAAATAGTTATGTAAAAACCTCATAACCAAACGCTTGTAGATAAAAAAATTAAATGACTAATCATAATTAAGAGGGGCGTCAGATAAGAGCCAGCGCGCCATCTTTTGGGCTTTATGACATACATTAAATATTTTTTAATCACAGGTGTTCAAATTCCCTGTAAGTGAATGACTTATTTACAAGAAAATGGCGACATCTTCAATATCAATTCGTTCACACAGTAATTTACAGTGGACTAAATAATTTCATTCAGATGCAAATGAAATAATAGTACCTATTTCACATTTTTTGCTAGGTAAAACAGTTTTTACTGGCGTTTGAAGGAAGTGACTACCCTTCCCGAACTCAGCGACATCTTTTAGAGAAGCGCTGAACACACGTTTGGTTTGAGTCTGCTAAAAATGTCAGCAATCACCTCGTTGTTTGGCAGATTTTGATTAATTTTGTGATACAAACATTATAATTTTCGAAAATTCTGTCCTATTCATTTTTTCCAGCATTTTACTATCCGAAATTTTGGAAATTTATTGTTGGTGTGCTACTCTAGGTATTCGTCCCTTTTTCATTTAAATCCATGACCAAAATTTGCATATTGTTGTCAACAAAATTGGTAATAATTTTACTATTTAGACTGCGTATTTTGCAACCAAAAATGCTTCGACTTATAATCTAACCTATTATTGTTATGAACATAACTTCATTTCAATCAATAGTGGTCTAAATTTGGAATTGAACAGAAATTTGTAAAGGTCTGTAAATGACATTTTATTTAAACGCCCCACTTAATGGTGTGCTTGCAAATAAAATAGTATACAAACCTCGGAGGAAAGTTTTCATTTTTGTCTCGAAATTAATAGTTAATCTCGACGCTTCGCGTCTCGATTGACTACCTATATAAATTTCTCGACAGTAATGAAACACTTCCCTACTCGGTATGTAATATCCTATTCTAGATCTTTCAAGAACTTTGTATGGACCACTGTAAGGGCATTCCAAAGATTTCTTGATTCTGTCTATTCTGGTAAATACATGTGAACAATCTTCTAAATCTTTGTAGACAAAAACGTTTTTCTTGCTATGATCTGAAGCACTTTTAGGTTTAATTTTTTCCATAGCTTGTTGTAACTCTTTTAACATGCATTGGGGACTCAGCGCTGTAGGCTTTTGAAGGAACTTCTCACCTGAAAGACGAAGGGTTGTGCCATAAACAAGTTCTGCACAAGAGCAATCAAGGTCTTCCTTTACCGTTGTCCTTAATCCCAACATAACCCATGGTAAAATTTCTGGCCATTTGGGATTTTCGTAACATTTCATTGACTGCTTAAGTGATCGATAGAACCTTTCTATGATACCATTAGCACAGGGATGATATGCTGTAGTATGGCTAGGGTAAATCCCAAGAAGCTTTGTAAATTCTCTGTATAAAGACGATTCGAATTGTCCACCCTGATCGGTTGTTATTTTCAACGGAACTCCAAATCTGGCAATCCATCCAGTTAGAAACGTTTGTGCAACTGTAAGGGCCGTTATATTCTTAATTAAAAAAACTTCTGGACATCTTGTATATTTATCTATGCAAGTAAGTAAGTATATATAACCATTCGAAGGTAGAAGGGGCCCAACAACACAGCACAACACGGAATGCAACAACGAACCCAATTTTTAATGTCCC